TGTGTTCTCCCATTCCTACCACCTCTGAGTTGGATTACCTGGATGCACCATCAAACAGGCATGGCTGGGGAGCTGTCCAGCAGAACAGGGAGCAAGTCAATGACAAGCTTTGAAGAAGGAACAGGTGAGCAGAGCTGTCCAGCCAAGAAGTCACAATTGGAACACAAGGAGTTGAGCAGAAAGTGATCAGGGGCCCTGATGCCATTTCCCTTCTCAGAGCATTCTGATCTGCAGCTTGTTTAGGTACCTTCTTCCTTCTGAGAAAGGCTCAGACACAGAAGGCTTTGTGATGCTAGAAATATATTGCATCTTCTGGCCTGGTTTTCAGCTTGTCTCTTCTCCTAGGGTAATGGTGGAAAACCTGGAGCTGGGGCATGTGATTAGTCAGGTGGTACCAGACCTTCTGATTTTACAGACTTCTCCAGTGGGAAGTCTTCTACTGTAACCACTTTGGAGTGTCCATTAGGCTATGTCACTCCCATTTATTCCTAGTATTTTCTGGTATTGGTAATGGAGTCATCCTCTAAGGAAGACATCTTGTCCAATTCTGGGCATGGACTAGACTTAACACATTCTAAAGACCTTAAAGGGGTTCCCTTGTACTGCTCATGGCTGCTGGGTTTGGTTAATATTGAAGAAAATGGTAGTAGGTAGATGGGATTTTTGTGCGTAGGAAGCTCGCTTTTGTGTGAGAAGCTCATGGGTGTGCCTTTCTCTTTTTGAATTAGCCTTCTGAAACCTATTCAGAATTTGTGTTGCATGCCTTCCCCCGAACCATTGGTGATCAGGTGCTGTCTATTTGCAATACAGGGACATCAGCTATCTATGACCCTATTAATTTGTATGCTAGGCATACAGTTAAGAACTGTTTATCGTTGCAACTCAAGTTTAAACCAGACTGGAAACATTCCAAATCAGATACAGGTGTGCAAGAGTAAAACATTACTGACAAAAAAGCACTGCTGATTACATTAAAGGCCTCTCCATTATTTTCAGTTCCATTTTTTATCAAGATAAAGGATGTGTCTGCTATCTGTTGTTACAACAGAGGATGAAAACACCACTGCTGCAGTGCCCTCATTGATTGAAAGCATACTCTGTTTTGCACGTGTAGACATTGCCTATTTCTATGAACATATGAAGCTGCCTTTTACTGAGTCAGACCATCAAGCCCAATATTGGTTACACTGACTGGCAGCAGTCAGGTATGGGTCTTCTACTGCCTTGCAAGCTCAAGATGCTGGATATTGAACCTGGGACTTTTTGCATGCACCGTGTGTGCTCTACAACTAAGCTATGGACCCTTGTATTTCAGAGAGGTCCACTCATTTTGGAATGAATGGAATACTGGATTGGATTGTGCCTGCTTGGGTTCCATTCCAATTCATTCCTAAATGGATGCTTTGAGTGACAAATGTGCACAAATGGGGTTGGTTTTCATTACCCCTCCCCTTCATGCTCATTTGTCACTCATTCATACCCATTCATCACTTACCTTACTCCAGTGATAGAAGTGGAAGTCGAGTTTCTTTCCTGGCAGTTGTCATTTTATTTCCCAAAATAACCCAGATATTGTGTTGTGTTGGGGGAACTTTGGGAGAAACTGGTGGCTGATTCCTCCCCTGCTTCTCTTGCCCCATTCCAAATGCTCCAGATTCAGACCAACATGATGGTCTGATCTGCCAACATAAAATGGTGGGTGCTGAAAACAACCAAAGGCAGCTGCAAAGACAAAAATGCAAAAATTAGTTTAGATGAAATGGTTGAGATAAAACAAATGTGTGTTCCCAAAAACATTGACTCTACATGAATGACAGATGCAGTTTTTCCAAATAAGCCACAAAATGCATGAAAACAATGAAGTGATGAATCCCTCCAATATTTTCTGTTGTCTTATCACTCATTGGACTTCTCTTAGTTTGGCAGGCACAATAACATTTTCCTAGCTTTCATTATTTATTTACTTATAAGATTTCTTACCTACATTTTGCCCTAAGGTCCCAGGGTGGACTACAACAATAGAATATATACAGTTATAAAAACTAATAAAAGAGTATTGCCATTATAAAACATGTAAACACATTGCAAATTGAGCAGAACAATATAAATTCAACAAAAGAGGCGGATCCCCAAAACAAAAAAACCTTAACTGTCAAAGGCCAGGGCAAAGTGGTATGACTTCAGAGTATGAAGATGTTTGATGCATTTCTGCAGGGAGGGAGCTCCACAATTTAGGGGCTGCAGCAGAGAATGTCCTCTCCTGCGCTGCCATTCTCAGCACCTCTGAGGGTGGTGGAATGACCAAGAAACCCCCCTGCAAATCTTAACACTCAAGAAGGTAAGCAAGGATGGAGATGTTTCATTATTGGACCAGGGTCTCATGACCTATCGACTTCACACATCTCGTTTGACCCAAAGCCTTCTGCATCTAAGAACTAGGCTGGGACCTTTCTAGGGCAGAAACATCTCAAGATGTTTACTTACAGTCCTTACATTAAAAAGTTTGGGGGGGAGGGGAAGAGAAAGGAAAACTTGAAACATCTCTGGGTTGCTGGAATATCATCTCAATTTCAATCCAGAGCCTAAGAAGAACTTTACCTGAACAAATACCACCTAGTCGTTTTACTTGCTTAAACATTATACTTTAGGAAGAAGATGCCATTGGTAAGAACTTATACCAATTGCGTGGAAGTTGACAAGTTAATATTTCCTGTGTTGCAAATCACTTTCCTACCCTAAGGCTATTTGAACTCATCCAACCTATGTCCCACAGAGGATCGAAACCTTCCGTCAACTCTGTACAGGTCATGGCAATTATAGCTGGTAGCCAAAGCACTGCACATTGTGGTATCCTAGCTGCTCGCTTATTATTCCACTCATCTTTGAAGAAGCAGCAGACACTGTTCTCCTCCTCCCCTTTTTGTCCTCACAACAATCCAACAAGGCAGGTTTGAGTGACAAGACATAGATTGGCCATTTGCAAGGTCATCCATGAACTTCATGCCTGAGCAGGGATTTGAACATGGGTCTTGCATTGGTTCCAGTGCAACACTCTCTGTGCACTACACTGCCCTGGGATTGTTCATGTCCCTCTTCTAGAAGCAGCATCTGGTTCCCCTGTGCGCGCGCACACACACACACACACATACTGAAACTGGTGGGTGCGGAGGGCTATGAAGTGCAAAGGCTGCTACTGGACGTGAGTATTGGCAGCACATCTGAAAAGTGCTGCACATGTCCACAGGCTTCTCTGGGCCTATGCTAGAATGAAATATGGTGATAAGAAGCTGCTGCTGAAGTTTATCTCACTTCTCATTAAGAACAGAGTAGCATTGTCTTAGGCAATCTACATGATGTGCTTTCAAGTTGGATTTGTCCTTTTGGTCAACACAGACACACAGACACACACACCTGTGAATAGGGTGGAAGGTAAGCACAAGGGACCTTTACTGCATTGCGTATCACCTTTGCATAACACTCTCCCAGCTTGCCCCCATGTAGCGGATGACTCATCTCCAGCAAGTCCTCTGCAAGATGGTGCTCATTTCATTTCCCCCCTTCCAGCAGCTGCTCGGTAATTTCACATGTCATAATGTAAATGTATTCTCTAGTCATGAGGTAAAGTGAGTCCCTTCAAGCTAGATTTGGCTGTGCTCACAGAGATGTTCACCATTCTGTCAAACATATTCCGCAGTCATTATCTTTTATAGCAGGCAGAGCGCAAAAGGAAAATTTTGAAGGGAGCATTTTGTCTGTCTCTGTATCTCTTTTCTCCCTCGCTCACAATAGGTCCATTCATTTTAATGGAAGCCATGTGGTTAAATCTCCTGTGCGGCTTTGAAAACCTTTGCTTATGATTTTCTCTCTCTCCTCCCTCACCATTAACACTAGCAGTCAGTCAGTGGGGTTAGCTGAATGTGCGGAGGCAGATATTAGATAAAGTTAAGAGGGCCTTTTATGATGAATGCCACACTGAAAAAAAATTACCATCGATGCCCAAGTCTTACATCAAAAGCAAAACTAATAATTTGGGAGTTTGAAGTACACTTTTGTTTATATAGTTCTTTAAAATAAGGATGGGAGAGGAGACCAGATGGGCGATTTGGCTGGAGCTCTTGTCTCTGAATGGATGGAAATGGAAATATCAGGAAAATGGCATTGCTACAAGTCCAGTTTAATTTAAGAACATGTAGATAACTGAATGGCACATTCACACTCATTCAGAACCAGAAGGCATACCAATTTATGACATAAAGCATACAGATTGTGTCTTCTTTCCAACTGGCTCATAGTGAGGGGGGAAAGTGAATGGCTTTGGCTCATGTTTGACTTTTAAGAAAAAGTCGCCTCGTGTGGTTTTTAGAATGAAATGTCACAAGGCCCAAGGAACATATTCCCCCCCCCTCAATTACATATGATACTGGAGACATACAGGTTGCAGCAATCATCATTGTTGATTGTCCTGTAAAGGCAATGTCTAGAGGCCATGGTTGAGAGAAAGGGCTTCATTGTGTGAGGAAGGATGCAAAATGAAAGTCAGTCCCTGCTTAAAACTGCTAATCCTAGTGAACACAGTGAAGAGTCAGCGAAAGAATATTTTATTCCCTTTGTTAGGGATGGCTGATGGATTGAAGTTCCGGTTTTGAGCTGACATTTGCATTCAGTTTGTTTCACTAGCATTACCAGTCCTGAAGTTGGCAACCAGTACAGAACTATATTAATTCAGTCTTCCTCAAGCCGGAGCCCACAACATGTTTTGAACTAAAACTATTATTTCGACTGATGGGTTGTTATATTGATTGTTGGATGAACTACTTAGTGACCATAGGTCATGTATGGTGAAACACATGGAAATAAAGAATAAAATAAAATAAACTCTCATCAGCCCCAGCCGGCATGGCTAATGTTGAGGGATAAATCATGGACTCATAGAATTTTAGAGTTGGAAAGGATCCTGAGGATCATCTAGTCCAACCTCCTGCAATGCTGGAATATGCAGTTGTCCCATACACTGATCGAACCTGCAACCTTGGCGTTATCAGCACCACACTCTAACCAACCGAGCTATGTAGTCAAAACATATGGAGGGCACCAGGTTGGGAGTTTGTTATATCGATGCATAACATTCTTAATAACTCTTTTTCAGTTCCATAGCACTGTTTCTGAGGGGAAAAAATGGTAAAATAAAAACACCAACCCACCCACAGACACCAAACATTAACAGTTGTTGGAGCAAGTGCTGTTTAGTGGGGAAGCATATACTTTGCATGCAAATGATCCCATGTTCAATCCCTGGCAGCTCCAGTTGGAAAAAAAAACCCAGTTAGCACTCAAGCAATGTGAAAGGCCTCTGTTTGAAAGTCCTGGAGAGCTGTTACCAGTTAGAAGTAACATTTACACCATAGATTTAAGGTGTCATGACACCACTTCAAACTGTCATGGTTTTCCTCAAATAATTCTGGAAGCTGGTTGGTTGGTTGGTTGTAGGTGCTGAGAGTTAAAAAAGGTAAAGGTAAAGGTACCCCTGCCCGTACGGGCCAGTCTTGACAGACTCTAGGGTTGTGCGCCCATCTCACTTAAGAGGCCGGGGGCCAGCGCTGTCCGGAGACACTTCCGGGTCACGTGGCCAGTGTGACAAAGCTGCATCTGGCGAGCCAGCGCAGCACACGGAAACGCCGTTTACCTTCCCTCCAGTAAGCGTTCCCTATTTATCTACTTGCACCCGGGGGTGCTTTCGAACTGCTAGGTTGGCAGGCTCTGGGACCGAGCAACGGGAGCGCACCCCGCCGCGGGGATTCGAACCGCCGACCTTTCGATCGGCAAGCCCTAGGCGCTGAGGCTTTTACCCACAGTGCCACCCGCGTCCCGCTGAGAGTTTAGGAAGCCCCTATTCTTCTCCCAGAGCTATAATTTCCAGGGTTCCCTATGGAGAGGGACTGATAGTTAAACCGCTCTGAGAAATAGAGAAATAGGGGTATCCTAGTAATTATCAGCACCATTAACAAACTATAGTTCCCAGAATTCTTTGGGGAAAGCCATGGCTGTTTAAAAGTAGGGTGTGGATGTGTCCAAAGGAAGCTAGGACTGACCTAGTATAAGGCAGCTCCCCATGTTGCTTATCAGAATTCAAAGTCCCTGAGCAGTTGCTACTGCATTGTTTGCTCAGTCCATATCACCAGCAGCACCCATACAAATACCTCTGAGAATGTTTGGAGGGCCAGGAAGTCAACCTTGGAATGTCTGGAGCTATTGAAAAGCTTGTAGCCTAGGCTGAGCTACATGGACATGGAGCCTTCACTTCATGTGTTATTTGTGTGAAAGGGGTTTGCCTACTGAAAGGAGGAGTAGGGTTGCCTAGCTGGTCCCACTCCCACAGTTGTGTGGCTCTCCATTCTCTATGTCCATACTTTGAGGTGGGGAAGCCTATGCATGCAGGCCTCAGTACTCACTGGCTTCCATGGTTCAGATGCTATACAACCTCAAAGGTGGAGTCAATGATGTGGCCCAGCTGCCCCTTTCGCTGCAAAGATTATTGCATGAATGGGGCTATTCTGTTATAGGCTGAGGTACCAGTGTTCCCATGTGGGTTTTGTACTCATGGCTACTGTTACTTGTATAGCTGACACATTTTTTAAAAGGTGCAAAGGTTTGAAAACTTATGTGAATAACATACATGTTGAAATGAGGGCCATGGATTTCAGTATTTTTTTTAACTCTGCAGAGCCTTCAGATTGAATTGCTTTGAAAACATTCCAACTCTAACAGTGATGTGTGTGTGTATGAAAAATGGGAATGAATACATTTTAATTAATATGTGTTGCATGAAAAGATTTAGTATGCCCAAGTCTATATGATGAAAAGGCTGCGGTGTAATATCTTCTGGAATTATTGTTTTCATGGCGTGCGTGTTTTGTTTTCAAGCTATTAGAAAAAGCTTCCTTACTTTTTCACACGATTTCACCTCTCAGTCAACTGACTAATATGATTTTATTTTTACAGCCAATTTCTGATTCCTCCTCCACACTTTCTTCAAGGACATGCTATACGACTTGCTTAGGTGGGAGTAGTGAAAGGACAGCTATACAGCTACTGTCAACTGACTTTCTTCTATTCATCCCTTATTAATTTTCCTGTAAGTTGCTTCTTCATACTCCAAGAAGGGATAGGCCAGTGAGTACTAAGCTTCTCTGGGAGCTTGTGTAGTGGTTAGAGCATTGAACTAAGACCTAGGAGATCAGGGTTCAAAACCCCATTCAGCCGTACAGCTCACTGGGGGACCTAGGGCCAATCATTATCTCTCACCCTAAACTGCCTCACAGGGTAGGATAAAATGGGAAGAAGGAAAACTATGTATGCCATCTTGGAGGAAAGGTGGGATAAAAATGTAAAAGGCATGTGACACAGGATGTGTGTGTGTACAGAACTTTCACATATCAATGTGTAGCCAAGAAATATCAATAAGACAACTCTAAAAACAACCGTTCCTGATTCACCCAAAACAACAGGAACACAGAATACTCGCTCACCCATCAGGCAGTGGGCACAATTTGTGGGCCGGCACGTGGCACCCCCTGGCCCTCAGCAAGACACACCAGGTCATTGGAGCTGGCCCTGCCCTCCCGGCACCGCGGAGCTTTGGGGTTCCTGCCAAAGCCCTGTTTAAAGTGCGTCTATCTATGGCGTCATTGGGGGTGGGGCCAGAGGAGCAGGTTGAGAGTGAGCCCTCTGGTCTGCTCTGGGGTCTTAAGAGGGGGGCAGAGCCAGCTTCATGCACGCATTCGGCTCCGGAGCTTCAATCACCTTACCCTCCCTTTGATATTAGGTGTTTATTGTAGGTTACTGTAATGGATTTAGGGGTTGCTCGTGCGTAAGTTGCCGCCACTGCTGGTGAGGTTACCTGGTTAAACCCTTTCTGACTGAACAGCCTCCAGCATCGTGACTGTCTCAGTCGCTGGCAGAATCCGTCAGTGGGCGTTTCTTGAACCTTTTCCAGCATAAAAGTTGTTTGACGCCAAGTCTCCTCCTACTCTCCCTGCGCGGAAGTCTTCTGCGCAGGGAGGGTGTGGGCAGCGGAGTACCTGTACTCTCTCCGCTGGTCTCCGGCAAGGAGTCTTGGAGCCTCCTCTCCGATTCCCCCATCTGCCCCCCTTCTCCACTGGTGTTACGCTGATTCCCTTCCCCAGCAGATGGGCTGCCTCTCTCCCTACTGGGACCCTCTCCGGCATCTCTCTGGAGCCTTCCCTCCGCCTCTAGCTCCGATGGCAGTTCCCTTTCCTGGTCCACAGGTGTTGCTACGGTTTTATGATGATTGCTGTTACAGAGCTGGGAAGGAATTTTTCCTGCTCGGCAGGTTTCCCCTTCCCCGTAGCAATTGTCACAACTTTGGTGGTTTTAGCCCTTGGGTGGAATCCTTTTGTCTATCATTCAAATAAAGGGGGCATGAAGTGGTGACTCACCCCCCTTGCATCAGAATTTTCATGGTTCCCTGTTAAGGGGGGTTGTGTGAAGTGGGTCACCGGCTAAATGGTGAAAGGTAGTCGGTGAACTACTCTAAGCTATGTGGATTAGGGGGGACTGAGATGTGTAGACATGCGTTTTGCAGTATCCCCTCCCCTCTGATCCAATTAACCCTGCTGTGCCTCAGTGCCCCGGCTGGGGGACTGAGAGGGATACACACCCAATGCCTAAGCCAAGATTTCCTACATCTGAAACTATTAATAAAGTTGCGGCCATTTTAATCTCCAAAATATGTTGTCGTGTGTAATTCATTACTCTCAGACTGTCTCTTGGAGGGGCGGGGATCTGTGCCTGGCTACGCAAACATCATTCCCAGTGCTGATCACCATTCCTAGTATGTTTGCAACATATCAGTTTGTGTCATATAAGGAGAGACAATTGCATACTTGCACCACACTCTTCCTACATTCACAAAAAGTGCAGAGTAACAGAGTCTACAGCTACTCTGTCAGCAACCTGAGGTTGACTTGTACAGTGAAAAATATATTTGGACCTGTCAGTTCAGATTGCAGACATCCCCACCCCTTTCCCCCTCTTAACAGGTTCACATATGATAGAAGCACTTCAGTCTTCTCCATCAGTGGAAGGTATTCTTGGAAGGTATACTTCAGACAGTTTATGGATCCAAGAGCACCATACAGCTGTATAGTAATAGCCTGTAATGACAATTGTCCTGCTTGCTATTGTTAGCTAAAGCTTGCCAAAGAGTCTGGTTGATCATTAAAAAGTGTCTTCAGGAAATTAATAAGGGCTGACTGGAAAAATGCCAGCTGTCAGTAGCCGTATAGCTATCGCTTGCCAGTTGCTACTTATTGTGGGCAATTTGAGAAACAACAATACAACTCAATGCTCAACACTCACTGTCAGGTGACCTCTGGGTCCTGCAGTATAGATTTAGTAAGCACTAGCACTAATTTACCAGACTTTGCAGATGATAGTGCAAATGACATTGTGGATTACTTCTGTGAAGTGTTAAGAAAGCTCAGTGCTTGCTTGTCTTGGCACATCAAAATTAAGAAAATAATGGCAATTGCACTGTCAAATCATAAGACCATTGCAAAGAAATCACTGCCTTAAAGTGAAAGCACTTAAGTCCACTGATTATAAAATATTCAATTAACAAAAAAACCTATTGGCTGAATATGCTCTACAGAGGGCTTTCAGTGTTCACCCAAGATCCAAAAGGCTGAGAAAGGCCACAGCCTTAATAGGTAAAGTACTTAGGAGGCATTCATATCGTATGATATTCTACCTTGTGGTTAGTTCTAGTTTCACCACTACCTTGGAGCTGGATGGCTAATAGTAGTAGTGTGGTGGACCAAAGCCCCAGGTTTCTTTTTTTAACCGGAATCCATGTAATGGAAGCTATCATGCAACTGAAGCTGCTATTTCACAGTCAAGGCTGGTGGAGTGGGGCAGTGGCACTGACCTGACCTCCTGCCAGCAGCTTCGCTATTGCTTACCAGGAGGGAGAGAGGAAGGGGCCATGATGTGGAGAGGCTGGCGCTGTGCAAACACACCAGCAGAGCGATTCCAGTGCTCCTGGCGGTGCATCTACACAA